CCTCCTCCTCCTCCTCCTCTCTCCTTCTCCTCCTCTCCTCCTCCTCCCCTCATCCTCCTCCTCCTTCTCTCCTCCTCCTCCTCCTCCTCCTCCTCCCTCCTCCTGCTCCTCCTCCTCCTCCTCCTGCTCCTCTTCCCTCCTCCTCCTCCTCCTCCTCCTCCTCCTCCTCCTCCTCCTCCTCCTCCTCCTCCTCCTCCTCCTCCTCCTCCTCCTCCCTCCTCTCCTGCTGCACGTCTGATGCTGCGTCTCGTCGTCGTCGTCGTCGGCGTCCCTTTCGGTGTCGTCGCTGCTGTCGTTGCTGAAGGAGGAGTGTTCGACCACACACTACCCGCAGCCGCCAGACCATCACCAGGCGGAGGAAGAGAGGAGGGGGTTCGTTCTTTCACGTTGGGGCCCAACCACGACCAGGTCGCCTCCCGCTCGTATGGCGCACGTCGACCGTGGCCCCAGTGCAGCGTGCTCCAGGCTGCCCTCTGTCGCCTGCTTGCACGTGCGGACACCGACACCACTTTGTACCTGCGCCCAGCGCCCTGCCGAAGATCAGGGAACCGTAAGACCCGAGTATGTCAGAACTCGAGTTAGCCGACGCTTTTTGGCGAGCGCGTCCTGGATTTTGACGGTCCAGTGTTCGCGGGATGCTTGCAGCGGGAGTTCGTGTCAATTTTCAGGCTGGGCCTCGTCATCTTCATGATAGCCCCGTCAGGCAATCCCGAGTCCCCCGAGCCCGAGTCTCACGTCCGCCCGATGAGAAAAGAGAGGAGGCGTGAGGAGGAGCGAGGAGAAGGAGGAGGGGGGGGGGGGCAAAGCTCCGATGCCGCGATCTGTTGTTCGCAACACACCGAATCGGACGGAGGCGTGTTGTTCCTGTAGTTGTTGTACGGTCCGATCGTTTATGGCGCTTCGAAATGTTATTCCTGCTGCAGCACTGGCCTCATTCTTGGATCGGCGCGTTGCTCCCGTCGTCTGGAAGGGCGGTCTCGCCCCAGCGCGGGCCACTTTGCTGGGCCCCTGTTCCATCGGTGTCGCTCCCCCCTCAGTTCCCCGTGTACGCAGCTCCCTCTGCATTACGCGTGACACGATGCGTTTCCCGTCGGACGGCTAGAGAAGAATGAGCACAATGGGAACGGATGGGTCGGAGAGGTAGGATGTCAGGTATGGCGTGAGCGCATCTAGCTTGTCTCCCCTCCCCTCTCCAGTCAATTCCCTCCTCCCCTCCCCTTCCCTCCTTCCCCCCTCCCTCCTACTCTGCTCCCCCCCCCCTGGACAACCACCGATGTCAGTTGTTCAATGCGCGGCCCACGACGAGGTCCCGACCCCTTCCCTGCGGGTCACTTTTTTCCTCCCGGATCCGTGTTTGATGGCTCTGCCTGTCTTTCTCCCCCCCACTTGCACACCGGCCAGTTCGCCTTCCAGTTGCCCCGAAATGCCACACGCTGGAGCGGACGGCCTCTGCCTCGCCGCCGACGGAGAAAGTCTGAGGGCCCTAAGGGCCTGATAAGTAACCAGCCCCAGAGGCCGAAGTTCGAGGAGAAGCGCCGGGACTGGCGCAGTCATGGCGTCGGATGCTTGAGACCCTCCCTCCCTCCGCCCCTCCCTCCCCTCGCCCCCCCCCCGCCGGCGGGGCAGCCGCCAAGGAGAGGCGACATAGGAGGTATAGGAGGCTCGCCCCCTTGGAGCCTCGCTGACCCTGCATGCTCGGTTTCTCATTCCCCGGACTCTCGCTGGACATCTCAGCCTTGAGGGTTTCCAGCGATACCGCGCGTCCGCGGCTGAGCGCGGCTTCGTGCCCGTGCCGCCGTCCCCACCACCGATCCCGCCGGCGGACGTGGGCGCCCCCAGGCTCGACTGTCGGCGGCGATGCCAGGGGCGCATCGTCCAGGGGCGGGCGCTACGCGCAGTCGCCCCAAGGAGCCTCGCCGAGGACACGGACCGGCGACGCCCCTGGCTGCAGGCGTTGCTTCCCTTGGGACACTGTGGAGGCCCATGCCAAGAAGCACCCTGCTTGCCTCCAGGGTGCCCTGGGTCCCTTGGGCTTCGATGGTTTTGCCGTGGAGGGCGCGACGTCCCCGCGCCAGAGGTCCATGGTCGTCATGGGGTCCCAGGGCTGGGCTTCTTGTGGAAGGTTTCTTGTGGTCGAGCCCCGACTGCATTCGCCTCGATGGGCGCCCTCCGGCACGACTGATATCGCGTGCCGTCAGGCCCCCAGAGACCAGGACACAGATAAACCAGGACACGGAAAGCCAAAGACACGACATTGTCATGTAGAGTCGCATGTTCCAGCACCCGTGCAGTTGTTGTTTGCTGCCCCGCAGGGTTTTCGGGTTTGCGTCCGGGTTTAAGCAGGTCCTGCAGGCTTGCAGGGCCTGTGTCCGGGCTTCTTCTGGAAGTGCTGCAGTGCAGTATTTTGTTCGTGCCGCCGTCTGGAAAAACTGGTTTCGAGGGATGTTGGGTGCCTGGGTCTAGCGTGTCCGGGTTTGCGGCGCCCCGACGCCGCGCGAAGGACGCGTCCGTGACCCTCGTGAGCGCGGGCGCCTCGGTGCTGCCGCAGCCGGAGGCCGCGGCGCCCCGGAGCGCCGCCGGCGCTGCCGGTCGTCGCCGCCGAGTCGGAGTCGCCCACAGGTCGGCAAGTCGGGGGCGGCCACGAGGGAGGGTTCCGTAGTAAGCCATGGGAGCCTGGTATACCGTCTCAAGTTCCGTCTCTGGCGTCGGTCAGCGTCGATTGGCGTCTAGAGTCGATGAGATGGCGCCGATTCAGCGTCGGCTAGCGTCGATTTAGCGTCGACTGGCGTCGATTTCGTGTCGATTGGCGTCCATTCGCAAGAGCCGCCAAGATGGTACGGGAGGCTCCCATGAGTTGCCACCAAAGGAGGTGATGACTAAGATCGAGGCAGAAAAGCACGCAAACATAAACTTGCGGCGCTCCGCGCGGATTTCTCGGATCCGCGCAGCTCTTGGCGCGCTCCGCGCGCCAGGGAGGGAGGTCCAGCACAGATCTAAGAAATCCGCGCGGGCCTCTGAAAGTTTATGTCTGTGCAGTGTATTCTGTTTCTATAAGAGGGGATCGGCTCGAGGTTCGAGGCTTGAGGATTTCGGATGTCTTCGTCAGTCCCCGGCTTCTCTCCGGCCTCGGGGTGCGTTCCAGCAGCTGCGCCTCGGCGGGAGCGTTCTGGCGGTGCACGGATCGTCCCGACAAGCCGCCGGAGGCCCGAGTTCTGGTCCCAAAGCAACGAGGCGTCGAGGAGGGGCGTGACGACCAGGGGCCCAGAGATCCAACATATTGAAAGATCGAGGGGTCTTTCGCTGTTTTCGGCCCCTGGGGGCCCTCGCCGGGCCCCAGGGACGTCAAAACACGAGTCGTGATAAGAGACCAGCGTGGGGAAAGGGTTGGGAGGTTTGAGGAATCCGTTTTGGAAAAAAAGACATCGGATCTGTGGGAGTCGCCTTCAAGTCGAGAGCAGTCAGGACAGGGTCCATATCGATCCGATCGATCCGATTCGATGTCGATTCCTGCCGTCCGGTCCCAGTCGATCCCGATAGTTCTTCGATCCGATGCGGCCCGATGCTTGCATGGCGCTTTTGCGCATCCTGGTGCAGCCGATTTGTTTCGATTTCGACTTCGACTCCGTGCCGATGCAGCCCGCTCCGATGCACCTCCGAATCGAACCGCTTTGCCGATTCGGTACTGGAAAACTTGCCAAGAGGGGGAGTGAGGGCTAGGGTGATGGATATCATGTGAGGCCATGGAAATCTCCTTGGATATCATGGCCCCCCCTCCCCTCCCCCCTTGCGAAGCAGCTGAGGGTAATTATGGAGGCCCTTCCGGCAATGTGGCAGGACACGGCGTGGCGGGTACCAGCCAGTAAGCATTGCGACACTGCGTGATAGTGCCTATGTGTTCATGTGCGTTTCGTACTTCTTTCAAGACGTCCCCTGTTCTCCCCTCGTCCGCGCATATGCCTCGGGCACTGACATTGTGTCTACGGAGCAGCCCTCACAAGGGCGTGAACCGGCAAACATCCAAAGGAAACCGTATTTGCAAGCCTGCGCGAAGCTCGGGCGGGTGGCAATGTCCAGGCCTCCCAGATGGGGTCGGAGTAGATGGGGTCGAAGGGTCGCGCCGCATCGCCGATGCACCGCCGATGCGTCTTGATGTGCAGCCCGCTTTGCTTCACGCCGACGTCGCCGATGCACCGCCGACGTCGACGATGCATCGCCATTGCATCGCCAGCTCATCACCGATGCATCGCCGATTCATCGCCGATGCGGCGCGATCCTTCGACCCAATCTGCTCGGATCCCATCTAGGAGGCCTCTAGAATGGGGGGTGATCCACAGTGGGGGGTGGAGAAGAGGGCCCTAAAGGGGCCCTTGTGGGCACCGGCTGGCTCCAAAAGGGACCCTAGAGGGCCCCTAAGAGGGCCCTTCTCTCCACGTCCTACTTTTGGGTCACTCCCCACTGCCACCCGCCCGAGAAGCATGTGCTGCCGATGCCGTTGCCGAGCTGATTGCAGTTGCCTCAGCTCTGCGCTGGAGCCTGCGCCGGAAATTTCTCACACTGCGACGATCCATTGCAGTCAACCCGCATACCAAGGAGGGGCAAGCTTCCCAAGGATACCGTTGCGTCATTGCCTCCTCGGTCCATTCTTGGCCACCTGCGCTGGCCGAGCCACGCTCGAAACGCTTCGAAACGGCCTGCACAGGCCCTTGCTTCTTCATCGTGCGTCCTTATGATGCGTATTGCCTGTGCTACTTCTGATAGGCGGCTGAAGACCCGAATCGTGCTGAAAATAAACTGCTTCGATATCGCAGCGTGGCCTTGCTCGACTGGGTCGAACAGCGCTATGCTGTGGGACCGGCGAATCGCATTGCGACCAAAAGTCTCCAGGCCCCTGGAGGCTGGCAGGAACAAGGTTCGGGGGTTCGTAGAGGGAGGGTTGTCCCAAGGTGGGGCTAGGGAACGGGCCCAGCGCGATGCTCCCGCTTAACGCGTTTCGTTATTCCGGGGGCTGTTCGGAGCGATTTTCCTCCCAACCCCACCTCTGCCCCCACCCCACCTTATGTGCCCCCCCGAAGGGTAGACAGGGCAGGAGGAGCCAGGCCAGAAGCGAGTTTGCGTACAAGACCTAAAGCCGCAATGTCTTGGCGCATGCCTAAAGCCGAAAGGTGCGCAGACAGTGCAGCCTTCTCAGGAGTACCTGTGTCGGTCAAGGACTTGTTCTGCAGGCTGTCCAGCTGCTGCAGAATGCCCCGCTCGAGCGTGGTAGACCGCGGGCGTGGCCCCCTCGATGTATGGGAGAATGTTGCACTGTGGGCCGAATTTGGCGCAGAAGTTCCAGTACCCTACTCCTCGAGCACCCGTTTCCTTCCTCGGTCATCCAAAGTTTTCTTCGTTTCCTTCTCTTCTCCGCGGTGGAAAGTTCAGTCAACCCTCATGGTACGGATAAGCAATGTTCCAAGGTTGCCCTTGCATCCTTCCCGTTCGGCCCATCCTTGGCCGCTTTTGCTCCCGCGCCCGCTCGCAAAGTGTCAACATGGCCTTCCAAGGCCCTTGCATCCATACCGTTGTTTACGGGGTGACTGTTCTGTTGGCGGCAGCGACGTCACAGCCACGTCCGAGCGGCCAATCATCGCATCCATGCCTTCCCTATATGGGCTTGGAGTGTTCACAAGAATGATGGCCGCCAATGGGGCTCCACCACCCACCGCAGCATCCTCCGTTTCGCCTCCCTCCCTCTCCTTCATCCCCCTCCCCCTCTTCCTCCTCCTCCTCCTCCTCCTCCTCCTCCTCCTCCTCCTCCTCTCCTCCCCCTCCTCTTCCTCCTCCTCCTCCTCCTCCTCCTCCTCCTCCTCCTCCTCCTCCTCCTCCTCCTCCTCCTCCTCCTCCTCCTCCCCCTCCCCCTCCTTCCCCCCCCCGAGGGTGGGGGCTTGGCACCTGTTTTTATGATGTCAGTGCTGTACACCCTCGTGGCACACTGTATCATTGGCATGCAGTGAGCGGGCAGGGTGTGAAGCAACCGGCCGAATTTCTTGGATACGGCGGGCTCTGGGACTGGGGGTGGACGTTGCGAAACCTGTATCGGCGGGGCTCCCGTCGTTGGGTGTAGCACGGCCCCCAGTCTCAGCTTGGCCCTGCTGGTGGCGGCGTCAGCGGCGCCTGTGCGGTCATGCCATTGCGATCTGGCCCTCAGGGATCTGCATTTCCTCGGGAGGCGGTGGCTTGCGCCACGTAAGTCCAATGGGGCCTTGTGTCCATCCAGGGCTGGGGAGCTCGTGCTCCTCAGTATGCAGTGCCAGTCGTTCCGGCTGGGATGCCTTTGGGCTCCCAATGCACCAAGCCGGGACAGCTGGGCCGCGAGTCGCTACAGGCGACGAGGTCTTCACTTGTACCCTGTCCGTGCAGCTTTTGCTGCTCTCGCCTCGGAAACTCGCGGGCCGCGGCGTGTGCAATACACGCCAAGGCCCGCGGGAGACCGACCCGCAGCGCCGAACTCCCCCTTCCCCCCCCTCCTCCCCCTCCTCCCCCCCTCCTCCCCTTCCTCCTCCTCCTCCTCCTCCTCCTCCTCCTCCTCCTCCTCCTCCTCCTCTCCTCCTCCTCCTCCTCCTCCTCCCTCTCCTCCTCCTCCTCCTCCTCCTCCTCCTCCTCCTCCTTTTGCTCCTCCTCCTCCTCCTCCTCCTCCTCCTCCTTTCCCCCTTCCCCCCCCCCTCCTCCTTCCCGGCGCTGCCCTGCGAGGGAGACGAAGAGTGCAGCGACGCGCTGCCTGGGGACGAGTGCTACGACGCCGTGACCTGGGCCATGCAAGAAGGCGAGGCGCCTTCCCCGGCGCGTTCTTTCCCCCTGCTCTCTCCCCCCTCTCTCCTTCCCTCCGCCCCCCTCTGCCCTGAGTTTTTCTTCCTTCTTCTCATCCATCCTCAGCGTCCTCCCTCCCTCACCGGCGGCATGTGGGGGGGGGGCATCTTGAAGGCTACGTGGAGCGCCGTTCAGGAGAACGGATACGGGGTCGGGGTAGATGGGGTTGGCGGGCAACCTTAGACGGTTGATATATCAAGAATATCCAACTACATTCTACCATCACCCGCGTTGCTGCTTCAATGCGCCCACACCCTTGGAAAGCGTCGGGTGTTCCCGACATCCAAACGGTCGGCTTTGGCCTGGCTGACGCGCATGGTGCATCACGGTGTGCGCGCGCACCCGCGTAAAACACGAATACACATGCGCTCCGGAACTGAACAAATCCTAGGGCAAACCCAACGACGCGCGCCCTCCTCCACCTGAGCGCGCTGGCAATCAGAAACACTATGCTGCGCTTGCCTTGCGCGACGTCGATCGCGGCACGATCGGAGCACCACCCCCGATGCGGCTGCTCAAACGACTGTTGCGTGGAACGGTGCCCATGAGTCGGGCGTGCCCGTAGGCACGCGCCGTTTACCACGTCGCAAAAAGGGAGGGAGGGGAAAACAAGGAGGACGAGGATGTTGGAGGAGAAGGCGGAGGAAAAAATGGAGTAGGAGGAGGAATGGGAGGAGGAGGAGGACGGGAGGAGAAGGATCCAAGGACGAGGAGGAACAACAACACATTCGAGCACACTACATGTGCTTGTCAGGCTCAATTTCGGTGTTATGAGGTCTCGGGCTAGGGCAAGGGTGTTGGGTTTGATTCCGTTTCATGTGTGCGTAGGTGGTCACGAACATTTTGTTGAATGATTTGTTGATGTTGTTTACGTGACACGCTGCGTGAAAAGTTCGCTGATGCGACGCTGCATTCGTGAGTATTGTGTGTTTTACAGGGGATGGTGGGGTGACGCAGTGCCCCCCATAAAAGCTAGTGCGAGCTCCAAGCGTCGCCTCTGTGTTCTAGGCCCTGCTCATCCTTTGCGTGTCTCAGCCTGTCTCAGTATCCTCTGTCTCGCCTTTTCTTCTCCTCTCTCTTGAGGGGATTCGGTGAATGTTCTGGGTGCTGAATGGGTCCACCTGCAGAGATATGTCCTTTGAGTCGCCAGCCCTGTTTGCGTCGGCGTCGTCGCTGTCAGTCCAGTTGTCCCGCAGCTGTTTTGGCACGGACAGTGCGTTTCTGGTCTGTCTCGAGGTCTCGAGGTCTCGGGGTCTGGGGCTACACGGCATGGCGCCGCGTGCGGGAGAGACTAAAGAGCAGAAGTCCCACCGCTTGCGACTGAAAGCGAAGGAGTTCGAACAGCAGGCTCGTTTCGAGCGCGTGGCTGCCATTCTCAAGGCGAAGCCTGATGAGTGCTGGCGGGTGGAGCAAGACCTTGTCAACAACGGCCTGCTGAGCGATCCGACCTCCCCACTGCCGAGCCCTCGAGCTGCAGCTCCTTCACCCTCTGCGGCAGCGCTGGCGATCAAGAATGCACCTGCCAACTCGCCCGAGCAGTCTCAAGCATGTGATGTTCATGAGCCTGCTCCTGTGGGTGCCTCCAAGGGCCCTGACCCAGATGCAGAGCCAGACGACGACGTCCCATTTAATCGCAATCGTTCCCGCTTTGACGATGTCAACGTCACAACGCTGATGAGGGCCCTGACTGCGTGCGATGCCAGTGCGTTTTCAAAGCCGAACCTCAGGCTTCTCTTGAAGAAGGGAGAGCGCATGCAGAACAAGGGCACCGTGCAGCAGCTCATAACCTACCTCTGCGACGTCGAGATGTCGGACACGATCCCAATGCAGTGTCGCACGAAAGGAGGCGTCATCACATACATCCAGGAGCAATACGTGCTGAAGGGCCACCGTGGTAAAGGTCTCGTGCTTCCAGTTGATTTTGACACGGCTGGCCACTTCTCGATTGCAGTCATTGGCACCACATGCACCGTGAAATCGATAGTCGACAAGTCCGAGGCCATCCTCAAGATCCCCAGGCAGGCGAAGCTATACATTGACAACAACCACAGCTACCGCACCGCCACCGTGCGCCAGGACGGAGGTGACTTCTGCGAGCAGCTGAACATCATGTTCCGCAAGTCGGCAGCTGTCTTCGATGAGGAGGGGCAGGAGGGCGGGGTCCAGATCCAGACGCCTGCAGGTGGCACCGCAGTAGGATCTCCGAAACGGCGCCGCCTGGGCATCAAAGCCCCTGAGTCTGGCGCCCAATGCGATGCCAAGGCCAACGGGGCGGGCGCCAAGCCGACAAGGGTTGGGCGCCGTCTCGGCGTCCCCATGCCAGTCTCGAAGGCCGGTGCAGCGCTGAAAGGCAGTTTTCCATCCCGCCGCGGGTCTTCGAATGGGCCTTCGAAGGTCGTGAGTGGCGACGCCGTCCCGATCGCCCCACAGTTTGCTGAGTTCAAGCCTCCGCCGCCCGCGGAGGTGAAGTAGTTCGAGCGTGTTGCAGATTGCAGTGTCAGAGGGTCACTGCTCACATGTATGCATGGTGGCCAGACGCAACAATGGCGAAGTAGAAAGACGATCTCGTCTGACAGCCGTGCCACTTAGTCTGCTTCGCCCGTATTGTCATGCTGGTGCTGGGCTGCCTGGCCCGCTTACTTTAATTTCTCGAGTGCCACGTTCACACACTGTTGGGCGATTGGGTTTGCTAGATACTGCTAGGGGTAAGCAGATCAAGCGCGCTCGCTGTGGATGGTGATTGTGTGATATGCGTTGCGAGGTCCGTCCAACGATATACCCAGCGAGCTTGTAAGAACTGGCCTGTCATGGTAACGATCGCCATCCTCATCCTCGGGGCCCTCGTCATCACCATGATCACCGAACAACCATCGGCATCAAGACACGGAGGGGATAGGAATGGGATGGGTCGCACGGGGGAGCGGGGAGGGATACGGGGAAGAGGACGAATCGACCACGATGACACGAGGAACGTTGAGGAATTGGACCCGTGAGGATTCTACATCGACGTCCCCTCCCGACAATGTCTTTACTCCACTCGTCCTCGTGACAATCGCCGCAATCCTAGCCGTTACCGATGCCCTCCCCCCCTCACCATCATCATCCTTCGTGCGTCCTCACCGCTGCCGCCCAAATAAGACCCAGACAAAAATCAATGCCTACGAAGTCCCATGGAGACTCGATGCGAGGAGCCCCGAAGTATTGACAGATGGACTCTGGCCAAAGACATCCTCGCAACAAATGCTCGAAACCATGTGTCTAGACCCTCGTGCACATCATCGCTTTGACTGCCCAACGTCTTCCTGGCACTTATTCGTCTTCCCTGGGCGTCCACTCCCGTGTCATCCCCGTGTCACCCTTTGTCCTAAAGCGAGGGGCACACCGCCCGAACAAGGTTAGGGCGATGGCGACCCACTTGGGTCTGACACTGTTTCCCTCCACCACCCTCAGCATCGAAGCCATTTTGGCTCGAATCGGCGTTGGGTGGACCTGGCGGCCCAACACATTGGCCTTGCCAGAGTACGCCAAGTCGCCAGTGCATGACGCGTGCCACCGATGCGACTAGAGACTATGATTACTACTTCTTGAAGGGGAGCGCGCAGCTGAGCACTGGACAAGTTGCGCCTCTGGATTGGAAGCTGTATGTTTTCAAAGACGATGTCACATTCCTCGAGGTGCGTGGCCTTCCCGACACCTTCTACTCTGGAACGACGACGAAGTGGTACACTGCTCGGGTATTGAAGATCCAGCTGGCGGAAGTCGCCACCGAGCTCAATATCTTGGGATTGGAATACCTGCCAGGCGAGGTTCGGCCGAGCATGAGGGCCTACACGGCCAAGTACCAGCAGCAGGGGCATGAGGGTGACTACGTGGTCGACGAGTTCACGATATCCTTGCGAGGTTTCATTGTATGGATGCTCACTTGGATGAGGACGAGGGCATCCAGGCGCGATCAGGACATGGCCCAAGCAATGCTTACCTACCTGTTTTCACGCTGCCTCGGAACACATCATATGAGCGTTGACGCTATCTGGCCAGTTCTGCAACGGTTCTGCAATACCTGCCCGCGCCTCAACTCGCAGCTGCAGGATGGTGTATGTTCACATCTGGGCTACGCTGTGAGGTGGACCTTGCCCGAGTCCAGGCTTGACGCAGACTGGGCCAAGTTTGCCAAGTTCCTCAACGCTGTCATTCTCAGTCGGGACGATTGCCCATCGGCTGCTGGTGTATTCAACTCACTCCTGAATAACAGTGTGGATGTGATGGCCAGGGCTATTGACCGCCTAGGTTTCTCTACAGATCCACGCACTGCCAGCGCTGGACTCACGACGCCGAAAGGCAATCGTCGGCGAGTTGATGGCGACCTGAAGTTGGCACTCAGCAATGCAACCACTGATCACACAGATGGGTCTTCTCGCAAATGCGCGCGTATCCTGCATGCATCTGTCACGAGTGCCGCTGGCGAATGGGACCTGAAGCACACGCGGGAGCGAGTTCGGGCAACTCGCCAACTCACTTGTCTGGGAGTCGTGTGCTTGTGCGAGGATGCGAGTGGCCATGGGAAGCCAGCCGAGAGCGTCCAAGCTACGCTCGTTATCGATGCGAAGGAGTCGCTGGCAACTATGAGCATGCCTGTGGTATCCCAGCTATAGCGGGGGCAAACAAAATGAGGCGGGGAGGGGAGGAGAGAGGGAGATGGCAAGAAAGATGAGGAGGACCCGAGATGGAGTAGAGGGATGCATAATATCCTCGTCCCCCCTCCTCCTCCTCCTCCCTGCTCCTCCCTCACTTCCTCCCCAGTCAGCCTCCTCGTCCCCCTCCTTCCTCCATAGGCCGCATGGGGTCAGGTACGCAGGGTCGGGTCCTGATTGCAAACCTCGATGGCGTCGACGGGTCGATGCCAGGCCCCGCAGTGGGCCAGCTCTGCCACTTGCACTTCCCATGTTTCAGCCCTGC